CCTGCTGAAACCTCGATTTTGGCCTTCAACCTCTGGAACTGAGGGAGAATAAATTTCTGTAGCTTTAAGCTGCCCAGTCTGTGGCACCTGCAGCAGCCCCGGGAACTCAGTGGGTCAAAACACAAGAAACTAACCAAGTTAGTATGCCTTCCTGGGTCTCCGATCTTTTGGAGAAAGCTTTTATTAGTCATTGTTGACTTTTCTTCTGTTTTCAATGGCAAATACCGGTATGTCCCAAGATCATGTGTTTGGTTTCTGCTGTGACATGTTTTTGTACTGAGATTGCATTTGCCACTGGTAAAAGAAAAGTTCCCAACTGGTCATCTCACCAGTCCTGCCCTTTCAACTGCCCTGTGGCATGATACTGCTTGGTCTTCACAGAATGATCTGGCTGACTTACTCTTAAAAGTAGGTTTGCAGCTCCTTCCACTGATTTTCATATTACAGTCACTCTATTTGACACACACACACAAATGCTACCTGTAATATGATTATCATTGTTTTGAATCATTAAGAAAGAAAAAAAGTAAATGATCAACTCTAAGACCCACCTGGACTCAGAGATAATATGAAAAAATGACTCAGGGCCAGATGGTGGCATAGCATTAGTGCAACAGGGGCCACGAGGGAGTCCTGGGCCTCTGCACTCTGGGACCTCCTTGTGCACACAGGGCACTTGAGTGTGTACTCATAATCTGGGCTGGTTGGGACTAAGGGAGGATTATGGCATGAAGATCCTTAAGGGGGGCAGGTACCTGTCATTTTCTCATGGAAGAAATAATTTAAAAAAAAATTAAAAATTTAAAAAAAATTAAAAAAAAATTGTGACTCAGAATCAACAAGTATAATGTTACCATTACTCCCAGCCACCCAGAGTACTTTGCCCCCTCCTGTTCCCTCAGTTCAAGTATTCAATTTCAACAGGTAGTACTGACTCTTCCTCCAAAGTAGTCTTACCAGATCCATGTTCTTTATAGTCTTACTCCTTATTTGCACTATGACAACCACACTATAATTGGTTTCTCAGCCTCTCTCTACACAGTTGAGTCCCTGCACACCAATGCCAAATTAATGTTTCTAAAATATCTGTAAGTGTTTTGATTTAAAGTAGACCCCTTCCTGCCACTATTTTCTGCTTACCTGACTTCACTGTCACAGATATTTCTAGTTGTATCCCTAGTTTTGTTCAAGGTAGTTATATATTAAATTAACATATATAAATTATCTTCTCAGATTTCCTTGCAGTTAGGAACGATCAAATGACATAGTTCAGAAGTTTTTTTTAGGGATTTCTGGACACATTTGTGTTTCTCAACACAAGTGCTCTCCCTTTCTAGAATGCAAAGCTAAAGATGGAACAAGCATCTTTAAACATGAAGCAGTAAGCATACGTATGAAACTGACATATTACAAATATACAAATTGTCTAGGTCACTGTGGATCCACTAAACCAGTCCTAGACTTCGTATTTCTGAACGTCTTGTGTGATGACAATACAACTGTTTTGCAAAGCAGTATAGAAGGGGCTCTGTGACATGCAGTCGAGTGCAATCCTACTGGGAGCTAGCCTTCCCTCAATCGCTCGTCTCCCACTGTTATTTCCACACTTTCAGGCACTTGTGCTTTGTTCACATCTTTGGCTCAGAAATCAGTTTACTCAACACACAACACTCTTCACACCTCTGTGCTCTCACACATGCTCTGTTCCTGTACATCTTCATAGAACCGTCAAACTCCTACTTACTGATGAGACCCAGCTCGAATATGTAGTGTCACCTTGCTCGTTCCTCTGTTGCACCCACACTGCTTGTCGTATCTTAGTCTAGCACTTTTTACTGGTTCACCATCACACATCTGCTCTCCCTCAATTAGATTCTTAATTCCTTTGTTGCAATGGGTAGGTATTTTTCTTCGTGTATCACCAGTATTTGGTACATGCTAAATATACAATAATATTTTAGTAAAGAATGAAACACTACTAACTGAATTTTCTAAAACATTCTTTGCACTGAAATTAACTCACAATTTGTACCTTTGCCTTTGGGTCATTAGATACCACTGAGCTATTTTTTTCTTCCCTAATGAGTAATTCCTGGGGGGGGGGGAACCTGATGTACTAACAGCATCTAAAAAAAATCCAGTTACTACGTTTTATTCTTCTTTATACTTCCTATAGCACCAAGCACAAACTTTCTTATGTCTAGGCACTTAGAAGTGTTGGAATTGACTTTACAGAACCATGAAAAACACTGAAGACGGTTACCTATGGAGGAGGACTGTGGACTAATCAGAAGGTCCTCCTGGGCTTGCTCACTCCCCGGCACTGTCTGCTGGTCGCTCAGTGAGCTCTGAGATGCACTGACTGGCTGGGGCACTTCCTCATGGACCTCCTCATCACTCAGCCTTTCTACTTTGACCCGGACATCTTCTTCTGTACCCAGTGGCAAGGCAGTTTTTGTGCTCTCACAAGTCACGTAATCAGCCATTCTTCTACCTGTCTCAGATGGGCCAGGTAACTCCAAAGTCCGGGTATTTTCTGCCTGCTTCACCTTCTCAGGTTGAATCCGTCGGTCAATTCCAAAAGGAAAAGTCCAAGGAAAAGCTAAAGAAGAGTCAACTGGCTGAGTTCTATTTTCTGAGTAGGTAGCTGAAGAATTCAACACTTGGGGTGAACTTGTCTGTGTGCTACACTTTACAGGACTTTCAGGGGACATAACAATGTAGCTTTTGCGCTTTCTCCGGGATTCTCGGCAGACAGGAATGGTTCTTTCTACAACACTGCACTCGGAAGACACTGGAGAAATGCTTCCATCTCGAGAAGTAAAATTGCAGTTAGAATTATTTTCTTGTCCAGCATCTAAACCTTTTTCTGGTTGGCTGTTGGGTGTATTCCACAAAATGCTTGATTTCATGAACTCTGAGCAGGTGCTAGCAACACTGAACATCTGCATATAGCTGGCTGCTGCTAGAACATCAATAATGTTTTCCGTGTTAATTGACAGAGTGGCTGTGTAGGCATATTCTAAAAGGGGAATGAAGCCAGTCACCGTAACGTGATGCAGATCCAAAACATTCTTGTTCTCATCCTCTGCTTGGCCTACGAGTTTGGTGCGAAAGAAATCACTGCAAGCTGCTAGTACCACCTTATGTGCTCGGAAGATTTTGTCCTGGACACGAATAGTGATATCACAAAAATGTCCATCATTCCGTAGCATATTTAGCTTCCCGAGCATTTCCTGGCTGTGGGAAGAGGAGCTGTGAGTAAATGTTTTCACACCCATCTTTTCCTTCCTCTTCTACAAGATGCTCTTCAAGGATGCGGATGAGTCAGAAAAGACCTAAAAATACATAAAACATTAATTGGTGATTTTAGTAGTTGAAATAGAAGGTGATTTAGACCACTTTCATGCTACTATGCTAACTAAACAAGGTGAAAGGGAAACCTCAAGGTGGGGAATGCACTAAAATACATTCCCACTCCCCGGCCCCCAAGCCATCTAATTCATGGAGTCTGTGAACCAATGTGTTAATGGGCTGGAAAGTTTTAAACATTGTAAATATTGACATTCCTAGTGTTTTCTATGTGCCAGACACTATTCTAAATGTTTCACATTTGATAATTTATTGATGGACATGATACCTGTTTCTAAATGTTAGCATGCAGTATCAATGCCAGGTCAAATATTAAACTATCCATGACATAATCATCCCTTCAAATGTTCTATGAGGGGAAATGTATAGGGGAAAAGAAAGACAGGGAAGGGAAAACACAAGAAAAATTGAAGGGCAAAGAAAATAAACAATTTCAAGACTAAAAAAGGCCACTGACTGCCTTAATAAGGGAAGACAAAAATGATCAATCTGAGACTGCTCCCTGATACTGATAGAAAGGATAAACGGCATCACTCCTGTGTGGAGACAGCCAGGTAACGGAAATAAACACCTTGATTACAATCAAATCAGTGAGAGCAGTTCAAATATTAACCTGTTCCACAGACCCTCCCATAGAGAAGTAATCAGAACCAGAGTCTAGGCAGCCAGGACATCACCGGAGACAACTGCTGATTTATCACTCATTGTCATGAGAAGAACAGGAAGAAAACGGAAGGACTGTGTATGAAGTTTTCGACCATTTGCTGTACCCCAGCAGATGGGCGCCTGCCTTTAAAGCCTGGCCATTAAGAGTGTTTTCTTGATTGAGATCATGTGGTAAGGGAGGAAACATGCCTTCAGAGCACGTGACACAGTCAGAATCCAGGAACCATCAGCATGAACAGGTGTGAAAAGCAAGAAATCAAACAGCTCATCTGGAGAACATGAGCACCAGGTGAGGGTGTTCAAATGAACCCATTCAATCTTGGTCTGGCTGATGCCCAAGGTGAGGTGCACGGCACCTACACAAGCGGGTAGCAGATATCTAGTTTCCAATGGGGAGTTGAATCCACTGTCAGCATTTAAACAGCTAAAGAACATAAGAGATTCCTGC